ATTGCAGGTCCATAGCGTGGGGGGGGGGGTAAGACGAACCGGCCAAAAACTGGAGAAGGTCCGCATTTAAGAACGAAAAATTGATATTCGTAGATATATTTACTATGTTCTCCAGAGAATCGGAGATTCGAGCCAAAGGGTCCACTTTCGACTGAAACGAACCTCCCACAAATTAAGTCACGCTACGGGCCTGTATTGTTGTTGTTGAGGATGATGCTTGATGATGATGATGATGACGGCGACGACTTGATGATAGCGGTAATGATTGAGTCTGTAAGCTTGCAATTCAATATTAGTAGGTCTAGTACCGTACTAGTAGGGCTTGAAATATGTTTGATAAATGAACAAGAAGCTATGATAAAGTTACCATGGCATGGATGCATGTACGTAGAATTTTATAGATTAATATCCAAATTGGGAGCAAGCGAACAATTTTCAGAAAGGAAGAAATTTAAGAAAATCGCTTAGATATTGCTATCAATTGCGAGCACAACCATTTTAAAAATTTTTTTCAAAGGTTTTTGATCTTTTGACAGGGAGACGAGGAACAGCGACAGAAGTATAATGGATGAGATAACGCCATTGCACGAGTGATTAGGCCTAATGTTGTACAAAAATTTCGATTATCAATTTTGTCGTTTTTCACAACATTGTTGATTTCAGTCGCCATCATCCATGCGTTTCTCAACGAGCATGGGAAGGATATCTGATGGTGTCTGCGTCTCTGGCAATTGTGTGAATGTCATTAAAATGATATTCATTTTGTATTGGAGCACGGACGTTTTTACAAGAGAACATCAGGAATGAGTTGGTCTTTGGCCCAGGATCCATATTATTTGAGTTACAGTGACATTTGATAGCCCGGATGTTTAGTAACGTTCGGCGCAGTGGCTGCGATTTGGAATTGAAAGTTGGCGTTCGAACCTTTCGCTGTGCACTTCTCTACACATGCATTCACTAATATATATTACAGGTTTTATTATTCAAATTAGTTTTGCTCTGTAGCAACGTAAACACAACACAAAAGATTCGATAAAATGCCTAAGAAGAACATCCGTTGAAGAGCTAGGCCTATGCTTAATAAGATTGTAACATTGTTTCTAAATTTGAGTACTGGTTATACTTTATACTTTGAATAGAAGTATATGGTAGGCCTACTATGGTAAATCATAGTACGCTACGAAGCACTGAACAGACCAATTTACACAAACAGGCCTAGGTGTTGTTTATACATACATTCATATATATCATATATACATATATATATATATATACATATATATATATACATATATATATACATATATATACACATATATATACATATATTAAGTTATCCATATCTAATTGTAACTTGAAACTTATGAGAAGAATGACTTACAATCTTTTCGTTTATTTCTCTGTGGAGTTACTAGATTTCCGTAATAAAACCTTACGCCCCGTCTAATCAACGAATGTCAGCCCAGATGAGCGTCGATTTGCGCGCACCAATCAGATGGATTAACTTAGCTTCAATCATTTGAAATCCATACAGATGCAAACCACTGCCTGGCGCACAATTACTTAATAGTTCTGATGGTTAACTCGAATGTTTTCAGGCACCGATTTGTCAGAATATTTTTGCAATAGAAACTGTAATTAAGGTAAAGAACATTCAGCGAACGAGGTACAGGACGCATCTCTTGCGCGTACGGGACACGTCTCTCCGGGGCTGGTTGATGCAAATGTGAAAAAGTTGGGCATACCTCTGGCTACAAAATGTGTTTCATTCTTTTGTCTGCTTTAATTTCACGGCTTGATATTGACACATTGTCCATTATCTTATGATGCATGACTCGTGTTGACGTCTGATTGATCATCTGTCAGAATCTACTAGTACTCTTCTGTCGTATTCGAAAGATTGATTTTTTACAACGCGCATATATTTGTGAATATTAATATCTGAATATTCGTTTGTCATAAATCCATACATTTCTCTTCCATCAATAACTGATTTTCTTCGCAAGACAGATAAAAAAAAAATTACCTCGTAGCACATCTGCCTGCTACGTACATCTATACATGAACCTATTAATTAATAGTTCCATACAGATATGCTACTGTTAGGGGAAGGGTTTTCGAAAATGTATGACGTAAACGAATTCGTTATCTTTTTCGTAAGCCTGTACATTACTATAAACAGGGAGAATAAGAAGTAGCAGCATTGGCAAGAAGCTGTCAATCCATCTGTTACTTTCCAATCACAGCACACGACAATGCAAAGCGTCCACAATAACAGAAAAAAAACTCGAAAATCTTCCTTTTTTATCTAAGTAGTGTTGGAACTTCGGATGGGCACCAACTTCGGTTTGCTTTGATGACATAAGCCTATAACGTCACCACGTCACGTCACGTTTGTTTATATATTCTATATTTGATTTATTGATATCTGTATCCAGATCATTAACTTACAACATTTTTCTGTTTTTACATTCAACCTGTTTATCAATAAATCTTAGGCACACACTGCTATCGCTTCTTATGCGTATTACGTATTATTGCGAAATTTGCGCACCTTTCGCAAAGCGCAATGATGCACTTCCGATTGTACAGCGAGCTTTGTGTTTGTGTAACCTACGGTATTATACCATGTGTTGTAAAAGAACAATAAAAACCAATTTAAAATACAACTATAACCAGTTTATTTAATCAAGAAATTAACGACTTTCATATTTACAATAATAAAGTACCAATATCGTTCTTACGGTCGTTTCGTATCACAAAAATAATTCCAATTTACAAAAATATTGTAAACAGATTGGTTATTAAAAATATGGATAGCATAATAACCATGAAATTACACATGTCAATTAACATATACACTCACGCACATGCAGATACCCGAGAGGTGTTCTAATATACTTTGATGTAAAATGCGACGATAGGCCATTCGTGTTGTTCCAACGGCCAAATCCATTTGCGTTTTACATACAATACATACAATATGTGAATTGAATATAATATTATTCAAGAGAAAATGGGGCACAGTTTTTAAGTAGGTCGACACTGAACGCAATTTGTTTCACGCTATAGTTAATGTACATAATCGATTTTTGTGTTAAATATTCAGTAAAAAATAAAGTCAAGCGATAAAGCGTTTCTGAAAATGGGTCGCTTTTTTAATCGATGCAGTTGCTACATTGAGTGGTTTTGAACATTGGTGGTTGATACTTGCCTTCCGACACATAGTTATGGGCTAAATAAGAACATAATGAAAGACAAAAAACATTCACCAATACTACCACTATATTTGATCCCATAACTATCCGTGGTGATAAAACTGAACGCATCAAAAACCAAATTAAAAAATAAAAGTGCTCATACAAAAATATTACCGTAATTAGTACACTATTCGTTCATACACACCGGTGCGAATATTATTAAAACACACCGGCGCGAATATTATTAAAACACACCAGCGCGAATATTATTTAAAGCCGGAGTTTTTAGGGAGGTGTGTTTGGTGTAAAATAGACAAAATAAACGACCATTCATTTCACTGGAAATGTAAAACATAACACGAAGTTTATGCCAAACACGCATTATTGTATGGTCACGATAGCACAGATCCCTGGTAAGCGATCGTTTATACTACAGTAAAATCATAGAAATGGTTATTACTTAAACAAACGTAAAAGCAATTAAAAGAAATGAACTTTACATTTCTTTTCATCACAAGCAATATCTTTAATGTCATAGTAACATCAGCACCATCGCCATTTTGGCGTCACCATCGTCCTATTACACAATTTTGTGTCCGGATATGTAAAATAGCAATTTCTATCATCATCACCATCAACGTCATCATCATATTTATCTTTATCGTAATTATCAACACCACCATAATCATCATCATCACCATCACAACCACCACCACCATTGTTGTTGGCATCACCATCATCCTCATTATAAAATTGAGATACGAATTATTGTCTTGGGACAAATAAATAAAAACTAATACCTCTTTTACACTGCAAGAAAATGTAAATGGACATTATCCGGTATCACTCCGGAATTAACATACGCTTATTCGAAACTTGGCAGTATAATAAGGGTATAAGTATTATAGGCCTAGTTACTTGAGTTTGATTCGGTCTGTCATAAACGAGGACACATAAATACATAGCATACAATTTTGTTATTGTGTGAAGTACATTGAAAATAAATATAAATAAAATTCATTCTCATTTGTGTTATAAATGGAATGAAATTAAATTATCATCGTCATATTGCCGTCGTCATCATCATCATCACCACCACCACCATTGTTGTTGGCATTACCATCACGCTCTTTATAAAACTGAGATTTGAATAATTGTCTCAGGACATATATAATACATAGCATACACAATTCTATCATCACCAACCACCACCATCATCATCTTCGTCATCGTAATCATTAACATCGAGATATGGACTATTATTGTCTCACAACATATAAAATGCATAGCATATACAATTTATATTGTGTAAAGTACCGGTACATTGCAAATAACAAGAAATGCAGAAATTTCATTCTCATTTTTGTTATAAATAAAAGGAATGGAATGAAATCAACCATCATCCACATCATCACCACCACCACCACTGTTGTTGGTATCAGTCATCCACATTATAAAAATCGAGATACGGATTATTACGGTATTGTCCCAAGAACATGTAAAATGCACATAAAATTTATATTGTGAAACTTACATTGCAAATAAAAAGAAATGAAATTCATTCTCATTTTTGTTATAAATAAAAGAAATGGAATAAAATCAAATCATCATCGTCAAATTGTCATTTCCATCATCATCGCCATAGTAACCATCACCATCGTTGTCGTCATCATCACCACTGAACATTACCACGATGGTCGGTCTCGCTAAGCCACGATTGGATATTATTCCAATGTCCCACAAAACGAACACATGAATTTACAGTCGCACACACGTGCGTTCTGTGGGGTAAACGCGTATTCGTTGCCCTGTTCTCATTGGTGAGTTTGATTGACATTCCAAAAATGCTCATTAACATATTTTGAAGCAATCAGTACATAGGCTTAATCGAAGACAATATAATTACTTAATGTATAACAACAACAATGACATTTTATGTTTGAAATCTGTGCATTACTAATAATATTAAAATGTGACCAAACCCTGTAAATAATATTATCAAAAGTTTCATTATAAAATGTTATAAATTTTAAAAATCATTTGGCAATATGAACCTCATGCGTTTTATGCTCAGGTGCTTTCTTAGCATCCGTCATGACGTGTTCTGAGCATCTATCTCTTCTTGCATAACGTTGGCCCTTTGCTGGAGGGTGTTAACTTGACTCTTTAGCGAAGATATCGTTTTCTCCAGTTCCTGAAAAACGATCGCGAAAGTGAACAAGATTTATGTACCTGTCAAAAGCAAACATCCTTAGCTATTGATGCATTGATTGGCTGTGACATTCATGCATAAATAAACCTAAACAGAGCGAAGGAATTTGATGTACCTTAATTTATTACAATGTTGCACAGTATTACGACAAAGGCACACAAAAATGATGCATTCATAAACATTACACAGGTAGACAGAGAAAAGTGGTGTAGATATGTAGCTTACAGTTGGGGATCAAGGAATTCGAAAAAGCGGGGACATAAGGAGGGACTTTCACAGTTAGAGTGTAGACCACTCCAGCCCCAACCTGGTTGTGGCTGAGATAAGAAAATTTATGATCATGGCACTTCCAGGTGGCCGAAAATAGCACTCGCAGACCTAAATTTGATTACTAAAATTTGGGGAAGGCCCAGGCCGACTCGGCCCCCTTGATTCCGCCACTGGCTTGGTAAACTTGTTTACCATCCAATTCCTGGGTGTTTGATTGAAACCCTTTCAAAATCTTTTGCGAAAAGCGCCATATAAGTACTAAAGTTTATTTTAATTTGAAACAATGTATAAAAACATTCACCACAGACCAAGCAGGTAGATAAAATGCCTTGACCAATGTGACCACGTGACGTGCCGCTGTGTCACATGCTGGTGGATCAACTCACCTGGTGGACACTCTGTGGCAGCAATCCTCGCAGTCTATTCTCGTGTTCTTGCTTCAGCTGTGTAATCTACATCAGGGTAATAAAAACGTAAAACAAAATATACATGACGACTAAGAAGATGTGATTTGAGCAGTCCAAATGTGATGGCATTTTTAGGACTTTCAACTCTTCTAATAAACAAACAAACTCCACCTACGGGGTCATTGGAAGCAGCTCTGTCCTGCAGAAGACAGAACGGATATGCAGCTCACTTGCAAGAGCCTATTCATTCCGTACTGGAATACTAGGTCCTGTAGAAATGTTTTAAGCCTCAGACTCACTTGTTTTGTTCTGTGTAATTCATTTATATTTCTCTTCGTCTTCATGCTGGCTAGTTTTCACTAGTGTTTTACTAAAATTGGAGGAGCCTGAGTCCAAGATAAATGGTACTTAACAGGGAACAGCCAATATATTATTAGTTGGTTTGATCTCTGGTCAGCAACAAGGGTGTTTCGTGCTACTGAGGTTTGGGGGCTGTCATGATAAAGACAATTTGTTTTTCTTTTTAATGCGAAATTTTTTCATTTTCATTTACAGATTCAACTCTTGTTTTCTAGAGGAAATAAACTTTTGTATTTTGCGCTATATACATAACCATTAACATGTCTTCGAATGGGTAAACTTGGAAAATCATTCTTAAGCTGAACTAATATTAGTTGGTTTGATCTCTGGTCAGCGATCAGGGTGTTTCGTGCTACTGAGGTTTGGGGCTGCCAAGATACAGGCAACTTTTTTTTTTTTTCTTTTAATGTGAATTTTTTTAAATTTTCATTTACAGCTTCAACTCTTGTTTTCTAGAGCAAACAGACCTTGGTATTTTGCGCTATACATATACATAACCATTAATCATAACCATTAACATGTCTTCGAATGGGTAAATTTTGAAAGTCATTCTTATGCTCAACTAAGTATATTGCAGTATGGCTATAAATGTATACCCAATGAGACTGATGAAAACATTTCAATCAAATTGCCATATTAAGAAAAAGCAAGTTCATCAATTTTTGGATCGATGCTTCATTCAAGTTGAGAGTATCCTTAATAATGGGTTCAACATACTCTGGCAACATAAAAGAATATCATACTTTATTTCAACTAGATCTAGAACCCATAAAGAAAACTTCAACTGTATGTTCAAAGCTAAGTTTATTAAGGGAATTCAGCATTAGGAATTCACAATAATACCAGTATACATTTATGTTCTACCAGTAGAATATTATTTGTTTCCAATTCCATCCATATTTCATACAGGCAGACTACTCTGTAGCACATTAATTGAAAGTATGAATTATAAAACACTTGTTTAAAATGTTAACATAATATGTAGATATTGTAAAAAAATTCTCAACACTGTTACCAGTAATAATAGATACAAAACAATGTTGTATTTTCTATCTATACATAAAATAGGTATAATGAACAAAATGGTAAATGTAGGCAATTATGTCGTAATTTGCAGCGTCATTGCTGAATTACAGCTAGGCCTGGTCGGTGAGTGTTTTAGCATCTGAAGTGTGGCACTCAGCTGTTATATCCTTCACGGCAAGGACTGAAGTGAAACTGAGCAAAAAGGACCGAGTCAAAAAGAAAAATAGGCTCCCAGTGCAAGCGTGTGTCTATGCCCTACAATGCCTTACTGTATTATGTTTCCTAATGAAGTATCCACATGGGATTTCGATATCAGGCAATGTGTGGTATTGTGTGTTTTTATATGACTTTTGTACAGTAATACGTAACTTAAGATGACACATGACCCATCATGTACCCCCCCCCAAAATTTACCCTTTCCGCAATCTTTAACTGCCAGATCATACCACAGTGTCTTTACCCCTGAGGGGCATAGACAAATACCTGGTATCTTATATAATTTTAACATAAAAGAAAACGCTGACACTGGAAAAAAAAATACTACTTAAAATTGAAGAGAAAAGGGTCAAGTGTCATTGCTGATTAGGAAATTACAGAGTACTTATTTCTCATACTCACAAACCTTTCCGCAATAAATCAACAGAAATAAAAGATAATGTTATTGTAATTTTTCTTCATGAAAAACCTAAATTTCAAATTACTAGTTGTCAATTATATTTTAGACAGCAAACATCCTATATAAAAATATGTACATGTTCAAGTCATCTGAACTTATAGACACATTTACAATTAAACAATTAATTATGTACTAACTTGTTCTTTTTGCTCAAATTCCTTCTGTTGTAGTCTCTTCTCCAGCTGTCTTACTTTGCTCTTCTGCGAGTCCAAGCTACTCTGCAGTGTCTGGAAACAGGAGACCAAAATAAAAATTAGAGACAAACCATTTTCTTTTTCGCCTCTTCTCCCCAGGGAGGGAAGGATTGATAAATTGACAATCATCTACGAAGAGGAAACAAAATTAATGGAACAGTCAGCCCCAGGTATTCTGCATCGAAAAAGTATTCACATAATCATGAACAAGATAAGATGCTGTATGTGATCATGAAAAACGTAATACTTACTCGTACAGCTGCGTCATGGATACGCCTCATGTTCTCTCTCTCTTCTTGAAGTTTCATTTTCACTTCAGTTTTCTGGTATTGAGCCGTGGCCTTCTCCCTGAAAGTTGAGAAATAAACATATTAGTCAAATGCACAAACGATTATGTATAAAGATACAGTATTTCTGCCTCTTCTGTGTATGTCATCAGCAAGAATGATAAAAAAACATTATGATACTTTCTTCATATACATTTCTATAATGGTATTATAACTTCTACTCAATAAACTTTACTTATTGTAATCATTCAACAAATAATATATAATAAGATTTTGTACTTGCTATAATCCTCACCCTTTAAATTTCTCTTTCAATTCTTCAACTAGAGTTTTCAACTCTGCTATTGTCTGTTGGAAAATTTATAAGAAAAATATTACTGTAGTATAAAATAAAGTAAATAAATATGTTATAGTGTACAATGTTAATGTTACTAAGCATAATAGACTTTTTAAATTTTGTTCAGTTAAAGAAAATTTTCAATTGAAAGCACTCTGTCGTGAACAAAAATGTTAAGGTGTGCGGTAAATTTATAAGGTGAAAAAATTTCAACTTGACAATGTATTGGACAATAGAGGGCAGCAAAGAACATGAGATGAATATTTCTTTAAAGGCTGAGCAGGGTTTATTTTTTGTTGTGGATTGCTAAAGCAACTTAAATAATATTTTTATTTATTTATTTCTTTACTTATTATTATTATTATTATTAATCTTACTTCTGCGGACTTGCTAAGTCTCTGCTTGTATTCTTTTTCAATCTCTTTCAATCTGGTGTTTGACTGAAAAGAAAAGATAAATAAGATTAAATATTCACTCTACTATATTGGTGAACAGATGTGTGAACAGATGTTATGCTATGTTTATAGATTTATTTCCTATGTGTCTCTTTCTATTTTTAGACGGGTGATAATATCTTAGCTCTTCCTCTTGGTTGCACTAACCATTTTGTTAAAGTATTAAGTTGGAATGTGGCCATTGCACAGTGTTTTTTGTAATTCTAGTGAAAAAAAAAGTGTAAAAAAACAGGCAAACACTTTGTAAAAAACCAACGAGGGTCTGTGTAGTGAGAAGGAAGGGGCTGCTGGATCTGTCTCACACTTTCAAATAAAATCCTTACTTGTTCAATTGTCTTCTCAATCTCAATGCCATGCTGTTGCTGCTGTTGCAATCGTTTCTGCTCGAACTCAGATTGCAGTCGATTCAGCTGTAAAAAAAGTTTGATACAAACCATGACCTGAATGACGACGTTAGCTAGTAAAATATTATGTCGCAATAAAAACAATTTTTTAATCAACAGCAGAGGCTACGTACACTACCTACACACTTGATTTATGTATTTATATTTCACTATATGTGCAGAAAAAAATAAAACAGACACATTTACTGCACTTCATTCTATGATCCACTGTAAAGATCTTGAGTGTTAATATGAATAATATATATTTAGGAGTATCAATATTAGGAGGCATGCATCAATAAAAACTATGAGTGCGCATTTCTGAAAGTGTTAATATCTGAACACGTGCATCAATATATTTTAAGTGTCAATATCAGGACGTTTGCTTAACTGAATGTGTGTCAAACTCGGGATTTATCGATAAAGTAATTACAAATCAACGAGAAGAATTACTATCATTTCAGTTATACTCCTCATTATTTGGAATGGCTGCAAAAAAAAAGGATCATATAAATGATCTGATTTACGGGCTTTGCACTATGAATATCCATAAATTGATCGCCAGCCAATTAAAGGATACACAAAGATTATAGGCACGTTATTATTTACGCATCTGTTAATTGACGAGGACAATTTTTCATTATAATTTTCTATTGATAGTTAATACTTTACTTAAAGCCAGACTCTGGAAATTCTTCTTTTTTTTTTTTTGATACGATGTACAACTGATTTTTCTAAGAAACAAAAACCATATTTGAGGAAAAACTTGGAAGTGGTTAATGAGACACAGATTTTTGAGTATTTAAAAACTTGGGGAAAAAGGGGCATGACCACCTTTTTTTAACCTTTTTCCCCCAGTTTTTAAATATTCAAAAATCTGTATCTCATTTAGCAGCTTCCGAGTTTTCCATCACATGTGCTTTTTGTGTGTTAATCCGTTCTACCATAGAGAAAATAGAACAGAATCTGTTTTCTCTATGGTTCTACAACATATTAGTAGCCTTTGTCTCTAATTACAATAGAGATAAAAGACATTTGTTAATATGGGATGACAAAAAAATGGTCTTTAATTGGAGGTGGTCTTTTAGTGGATGTGGTCTTTAAATAGAGGATGACCTATATGCACCTTTGATTGGTTTTCCCTGAGTGCTGTTTGTTTCTCCTCTTCCCTGATCAGCCCTAGCTCTGTCAATTGCTGTTTCCGAAGGGCATTACTTTGTACTAGCTCTTCCTTCATCTGACCTAACTGCAGCTCAAGATTTCCAATTTTCTGCAGGAGAAATACGAAGAAAATTAACACATCATTGGCAGTGCCAAGTGACGCATGCATGTAAAATGATTGGAGTAGCATTTGAGGATGAATTGCCTGAATCAAAAAGGGAAAATCTACATACTTGATGGACATTATACGTATAGGACAGAACCTTAGTACTCTGTGCTAATGCGAAAAATTGGAAAAAAAGTACCAAGCAAATGTAAAAGAGGGATGTCGGAGAATGACAGGATAGATGGTAAGAGAATGGCATAATAGATAGAAGGGCACGACTCGACAGAACTAGTAAGACAGAATGTTACAGCTAAGTCAAAGGCTATAGCTTTCATTGACGTCATCGCAGCCATGGTCGCTGCCAACAACATATCCATTAGAAGAAGGTAAAAATATTTGGGAAAAAAAACTGTCATCCTTCTTTTACCTTTGCATCCTTCTCTTGTCTGTCTTTAGCTAGACTCTCCTGTTGTTCAAGTCTGCCTTGCAACTGGCTTACGTGAGTCTCTAGGTCTTTATCGTGGTTTTGCCTCATTGTTTCTTTTTCAATGTGGTAGTCGTGCAGCAGCTGAACTTTTTCTTGCTCAAATCGTAGCTTCAGATCAGATAGCTAATAGACATAAATATGTAGGTTGTCAGCAGGACAAAGAGGAGGATTTGAGAAAGACATAAGCAATAGGCATTTGAGTGGCTACTAATTACGATGATGAAGGATAATACTATTTTTGTGAATTATCAGCTGACCTTATAAGAAAAAAAAAATTATATTTATGACCACATGGATGAGTGGTCGTAATAAGATGAGTTTGAATTTGTTTACCAACCATTTTTTCATAATTTTGTGTCTCTTCTTGTTGTTGTTTGGTAAATTCTCTTGTTTGTTGTTCACGAAGGGATTTTGACCTCTGGAGGTCAGCCTCTACTTGAATCATCTAGAAAGAAGTAACAGAAAAAAATCTCATTATCAAGACAGTTTGTTCACCTACAACTTGAGTGCCTTTCCATCTAGCCTACTAATGTGTTTTCTTACCTGTTCTTTCATATCATCAAACATCTTTGATGAGTTCTTTTCCACCTGGGCTCTGAAACCCTCAATTGCTTGCTGTGACTGCTGAGCCTGTGCCTTCTGAGCTTCAGTACATTTAAGAATCTGTGCTTCTTTCTCACTATATGGATAAAAAAAAATCCCAATTAATTAATTATTAATTAAAAGGGATAATTTTCTCAATTTGATATGCTATATTATCAAGCTTTATACATCAAATATATCATAAAAAAAGTAATATATAAATAAATTTTTCAACTTTCTTGACAATATTATGTGTTGTATTTTTTGTTCTCTACTACAGAACATGCTCGTTTAAGCGTATTAGAAATTAATTTTCTCAACATATTCTAGAAAATGCTTCCACCCAAAATACATCTTCCCAGAAAACACCCCTTTCAAAGAATGACTGTATATAATTAAAGACTTCTTTATTTAAGATGCATACTCAATACTCACACACTGTATTTCATTGTATTCAAGATTAAATCAAAAAAATTAAATAAAAACAACTGTAAACATAAATTAAAATTTAAAAAAAGTAAAAAATTGAGAAACAAAAAAATGCTTATTTCCCTCACATCTAACAGCAAGTACATTTGGCACTTACAGGATGAGAAATGATGCTATATACTTTATAAGGCTTAGGGAGTGGAGTTTTTTAAGTCGTGATAAAAAGTCCTGCCGTGACAGGAATTGAACCTAGGACACTGGGATCAGAAGGCAAGCATCTTAACCACTATGCTATTCAACTCCACGCCAAGAAATGATTGGCTGAGTCAGCAGTGGCGTATCTAGGAGGAACAGGCAGACCCCAAAATACATACCCCACCCCCTTGAAATTTTTTGAAGCAAAAAAAATCACACTCAAGTAGATAAAAATTACCTATTACTTTATTTTACAAGCTAGCACACACTCATTTAACCATCGAGCCCCCACCTCACCATTGTGTCCCCACACCAGTCCCTTCCCCATTTCTAGACTCCTAGATACCGTAAATGCTCAAATATGAAATTTTTGAAGGCTTCAGTGCAGCGCTTATAAGAAAAATATTGGCCTGGCCCTTTCCATTCCCTTTCCCATGTTACCTACCTCATGTATCTGCCCTATCATAGGTCCTAGTCATCATAAATAAACGATTATAAAGAAATATCTTCACTGTGTTATTTATTCATTTTAACACTGTATACATTGGATTTAAAACCCTGTTTCTGTTTGAGAGCGGAACTTAAAAATAATCACGTTTGGTGCGGCGCATTTACGGTACGCCATTGTGAGTCAAGTCACATGACTAACCTAACAGTTTGTTCTAGTTTCCTTATCCTTCTATTCAATTCCTGTTGTTCCTGTTCGTGTTCTTTCTTGAGGCTGTGCAGCTTGTTTTCATGTAGGTGCTCCATGTGCATTTTGTCTTGCTTCTGGATTGACTCCCATTCCTGAAAACAACATATTCAAGGTAATAATTTATTTTGATTACAACTCATTCAATATGAGATATTTTAAGCAGAATGGAACAAATATAAACAGTTTAACTGAACATTGAACTGGATAATGAAGTCTTGATAAACTGGCCTTACTGCTAGAAGGTAAGTACAGTAGGTACAATCAGAAATGTGTCTAAGAAGCTCACAAACGCATGTGTTTGCGTACCGTAAACCTCGAATTAAAGCCCAATGGGCTTAATCTCGAGATGAAGCCCATCTTTAATTGAAGCCCCCTCTTTAGTTTGCAAATTCAGCCTCGAAAAAAAGCCCATGAGCTTCTTTTCAAGGTAGCATAGGCTTCTTTTCGAGATAGTACAGTACATACACTGTACATGAATTTCTAAAAACAAAATAAATTGAAAACAAGCTTTGTTTATACAGTAGTTTAGGTGATTTAATGCCAGTAAAATACACCCACTGATACAGATTGATGTTACAGTGGCCTTATCTATTGTTTCATATTACAAATTCACAGAATTTACAGCATTCATTTTGAAAAGAAGCCCCCATCTTTACTTTGCAAAAATAGTCTCGAAAAAAAGCCCATCTTGAAAAGAAGCCCACTCGATAAGAAGCCCATCCAAATTTCGCAAAAAAAAAAAGAAGCCCAGGGCTTCAATTCAAGGTTTTAAAATATGTTTAACCTTAGCAACAATTACTATGGGGCGGGGCTTAGTGGAAAAGTCAATTTTTTCCTGCTATTGTGATTCATGTTGTTCTTTCTGGCATTTGTTTTTCTTGAACTATTTACAAGCAATGGTTTCATTTACTTTGCAAGCACCTTAAACTCCAATCTACAGCTAAACTACTTGAATGCTGCAGTAATTACTTACTCTAAATTGTCGTTGACGTTGCTGTTCACTCTCTTGTAAAGACTTCTTCAACTCCTGAATTTGTTGTCCCAACTCACTGATTGTGTCAACTGACTAAAGAAAGCAGTGCTTAGTGTTAAAATATCAATATATTACATAAATTTTATTATACCTGGCACATGCAAGTTTAGCAAATATGTTACCTTGGATAATGCTAAAGCATGTTCCTGCTTGAGGTACTCTATGCTGGCATCGGTTTTAACTTGTAATGACCTCCGCTGCCTTCCACTGTCTTCCTGAAGCCTAACATGATCGTTGTGAAGAGTCTCAAATCTATAATACAATTAAAGTAGCACATCTTATCTGTTTGAATTAAATTCAATCAATGTCGGTATATACTGAACACTCATATCCGAATAATATACTGAACAAGTTATTTGAATTAAGAGTGCTTATGTCATGTGAATGGTACTCTCAATTCAAAGGCACTGATTTTCATTGGGGTCCACAAAAATACAAAAACGATAAACTGAAAAGAAAAGAGTATGGTAAATTTAACAATAGAGAGACCAATCAATTAAGTGAGAGCATTTTTATAAATATATTTATTCAAATTCTGGAATCCACTGTGGAACTAAAAGATGATTAATTGTCTGACAGAGTGCTTTTTTATCATTTTCGAGAAACATATTAATTGAAAGGAAGGTGTAATTAAGACGATAATTAACTATACGCAAAGAAAACCAGACAAGGCTTTCCTTATAAACTAGCAAAAACCTGACAAATGCGGATTCAACACTCGTTTAAACTGGCAAAAAAAAAAAAAAAATTGTTACCAGTTTATCTCGTTACATAATTACCAAAAAAATCTCATTACATAATTATTCTAAATTGTTCTCCCAATTACAAAAATACTTACTGGACAAAACTAATTTCTATGGGGCAAGCTTAAAATTCAAGTGAATATTTAACAATATATTTAACCCCTTGATTGTAAAACTTATAAATGGTCCAATGACATCTCAGGTGTTTGCAATCTTTGTGACGAAGAAATTGAAGATGTAAAGCATTTCTTATTAAAATGTATGACATTAGAAATAAAGAATTAACGAATATAAAAACTAAACCCTATACTTTAACTTTTTGATACATGGACATTTTTTTCAACATTATTGTATATTTTAGGAGCAGATTACTATATATATATATATATATATATATATATACACATTTATATACGTATGTATGTGTGTGTGTATGTCTATGTATGTATGTATATTTATATACATGTTTGTAAGCATGTGTGTGTATATATATATATATATATATTACAGTATATCTGTCTCTTATACACATCTAGATGTGTATAAGAGACAGGTACAGTGCTTTTTAAGCGAGTTCTGTCTGTAGTCAATGTCTGTTATTATTTTAAGTGTTGGCATGAAGTATGTCATCTATTATTAATATTATTATATTATATAGTATTTCCACCAGGGTTTATCAAGTAGGTAAATTAAAATTAAAATTTTATGAAGTGCAGCAGGTGAGTATAGTTTGTTAGTTCACTTGTTTACTTTATTACTACTACAGCTGATACTGAAATAATAGTAATTATAGAGGGTCGGAATGGCTAACAATCAATGCAATACAATGTCAAATGTTATTGATTATAACAATATATAGCTGAAAATAAAATTTTTTAATAACAGAAATATAAAACTGAATTATTATATACTGGTTAACAAATATGATATAAAAAATAATTAAATCAAATTTAGACTACCTTAAAATTAAGCATCTCTGAGAGCTGTTCAGCCTTGGTTTGTCGGAGACAGTTTCCAGCATTGGTGACAAACACAACCGGGACTCGGAGTTTGCCATGTCTGTCCCTTAGCTTGTTGAACGCACTAGTGGCCTCCGGCAGAACTTGATGTCCCCGGCATAGAACCCCATCAATATCAAACAGCAGACCAAAGCCAGCTTCTTTTATATGATGCTTGAAAAAAAGATGAGGAAAAGATTCTTTATTTCAAGATGACACGAATGAAGACAGTGTATTCAGTATTTGTAATCTCACCTCATTATTGTTGGTACAGTATGCATTCTGTAAATGGTAGGCAGAATGTTCAATAATAATATTGTTAAATGTTAAATGTTATAATATCTAGGCCTAGAAAATTATTTTTTAGTGCCTAGTAG